ACCTGTAACCTGCGTATATACCTGTAACCTGCACGATATATACCTGTAACTGTATATTACCTGTTGATATACTGTAACCTGCGTATATACCTGTAACCTGTATATATTCCTGTGTGTATATAGCAACCTGCACGTATATGCCTGTACCTGAATATATTACCTGTGTTATATACTGTAACCTGCACGTATATACCTGTAACCTGTATATATTACCTGTTGTATATATAATGACATATATACCTGTAACCTGTATATATTACCTGTGTGTATATACTGTAACCTGCATATATACTGTAACCTGTATATATATCTTGTGTATATACCTGTAACATAGTATATACCTGTAACCTGTATATATTCCTGTGTGTATATACCTGTAACCTGTATATATTACCTGTGTGTATATGTAACCTGCGTATATACCTGTAACCTGTATATATTACTGTGTGTATATACCTATCCAACATAGTATATACCTGTAAACTGTATATATCACCTGTGTGTATATACTGTAACCTGCACGTATATACCTGTATGTGTATATATTATGTGTGTATACCTGTAACCTAATATATATTGCCATATTGTTATTGTATACTGTATGCACGTATATACCTGTAACCTGTATATATTACCTGTGTGTATATACCTGTAACCTGCACGTATATACCTGTAACCTGTATATATTACCTGTGTGTATATACCTGTAACCTGCACGTATATACCTGTAACCTGTATATATTACCTGTGTGTATATACCTGTATAATATCTGTGTGTATACCTGTAACCTGTATATATTACCTGTGTATATACCTGTAACTGCACTGTATGCCTGTAACTCCGTATATATTACCTGTGTGTATATACCTGTAACCCGCACGCATATACCTGTAAACTGTATATATCACCTGTATATATTCTAACCTGCACGTATATACCTGTAACCTGTATATATTACCTGTGTGTATATACCTGTAACCTGCACGTATATACCAACCTGTATATATTACCTGTGTGTGTATATACCTGTAACCCGGGTAATTTATATACCTGTAACCTGGGTATATATCACCTGTGTGTATATACCTGTAACCTGCACGTATATATACCTGTAACCTGTATATATTACCTGTGTATATACCTGTAACCCGCACGTATATACCTGTAACCTGTGTATAGAGCAGTTACCTGTGTGTATATACCTGTAACCTGTACGTATATACCTGTAACCTGTATATATTACCTGTGTGTATATACCTGTAACCTGCACGTATATACCTGTAACCTGTATATATGACCTGTGTGTATATACCTGTAACCTGCACGTATATACCTGTAACCTGTATATATTACCTGTGTGTATATACCTGTAACCTGCACGTATATACCTGTAACCTGTATATATTACCTGTGTGTATATACCTGTAACCTGTACGTATATACCTGTAACCTGTATATATTACCTGTGTGTATATACCTGTAACCTGCACGTATATACCTGTAACCTGTATATATTACCTGTGTGTATATACCTGTAACCTGCACGTATATAACTGTAACCTGTATATATTACCTGTGTGTATATACCTGTAACCTGCACGTATATACCTGTAACCTGTATATATTACCTGTGTGTATATACCTGTAACCTGCACGTATATACCTGTAACCTGTATATATTACCTGTGTGTATATATCTGTAACCTGCACGTATATACCTGTAACCTGTATATATTACCTGTAATCTATGTGCATGAAGCCTATATCTTATACAACCGCAGGCAAAAAAGTAAAAAGTCGCATTAGCTACCTGAACCTGACCTTGCTGCCGAGGTGACCTAACTTTGGACCCTTGATCTGCGGCAGATGGCAGAGAGGGTGACTGGGGAGGATGGAAGGAGAGAGAGAGAGAGAGAGAGGAGAGAGAGAGAGAGAGAGAGAGGTGAGTCATCAACAATGTAGGCTAAGTGTAGTTCTCCCATAAGGGAAAATAATACGTAATTATACTAAAAGGTGAAGGTGGCGAGTGCTCTCCTCTCTCTTAATTTATTGCTCACTTCTTTTTTCTTTCTTCTTCTCCATCATCATCACTACCAGCTACCACCACCACCACTACTACCACTACCACCACTACCACAACAATCACCACAAACAAACAGCCTTCAACCACACCTATCAAGCGTATGTAATCCACCTAACCACACACACACACACACACACACACACACACACACACACACACACACACACACACACACACACACACACACACACACACACACACACACACACACACACACATTTATGGAACTAGTTTTACTATATTTTTAACTAATTAATAACAATAATAAAAAGAAGAAGAAGAAGAAGAGATGGATGATAAGAGGGAAAGAGAAGAAGAAGGAGATGGAAAACAGGATAAAGGAGGGACTAGAAGGAGGAAAGGGGAGGTGAGGTGGACACATACACCCACCCCTCCCATACAACACCTCCCTCCCCATACCACCTACCCTCTATCCCCCACCTCTCTCCTTCCCCACACCCCACCCTCCATCCCCACACCCTCCCCCCTCTCCTTCCCCCACACCCCCACCCTCCATCCCCACACCCCCCCTCTCCCCTTCCCCCCACCCCCTCCTTCCCCCAACCCCCTCCTTCCCCACACCCCCAACCCCCTCCCCCCACACCCCCACCCCTCCATCCCCACACCCCCCCACCCTCTCCTTCCCCACACCCCCCACCCCTCCTCCATCCCCACCCCCTCTCTCCATCCCCACACCTCACTCCCTCTCCATCCCCCCACCCCCCTCTCCATCCCCACACCTCCCCTCTCTCCATCCCCACACCACCCCCTCCTCTCCTTCCCCACACCCCCCATACCCCCCTCTCCACTCCCCACACCCCCCCCCCCCTCTCCATCCCACACACCCCCCTCCTTTCCCCCACACCCCCACCCCCTCCATCCCCACACCCCTCCCCCCCTCCATCCCCACACCCCCACCCCCCTCTCTCTCCATCCCCACACCACCCCCCCTCTCCATCCCCACACCCCTCCCCCTCTCTCCATCCCCCACCACCCCCTCTCTCCTTCCCCACACCACCCCCCCTCTTCTTCCCCACACCCTCCCTCTTTCCATCCATACCCACGAGAGAGAGAGAGAGAGAGAGAGAGAGAGAGAGAGAGAGAGGAGAGGTATTAGTGGAGAAGGGGAGGAGCAAGCAGAACATACCCTCCCACTTCTCCCTCCCACCACCCTTATAAGGCCTGCTTTCAGGAGGTCAACGCCCCTAGGTGCTAAATCGTAATGTTTCGTTCAATTTTTTTAATATATCGTAACTCAATATCGAAACCGGTTCACTTAACATCTCAGGCGTAACACAACAAAAACAAAACAAATGACTGTCTGATCAAAATGGCGTCGATGTTACACTAAGACTGTAGTTGTTTATAGAGAAGAGAGGAAGATGTTAGTTGGGATTAATGATTCTAGTCGTTAGTATGGTATAGGTTTATTGTACAGGTAACTCTATCTACCTGTGTGTGTGTGTGTGTGTGTAAACTGGGCCACCTTTGTCCTCAATATAAGATCACCCCTGCCCCACCAGGGCCCTTTTTTTTGTAGGTAAAGGAGGAATGAAGGAAGATTAGAGGTGGGGAAGGAAGTAGAGTTCGGAAATTGAAGAAATTCAGGAGGAGGTAAGAGAGGGCGGGCTGACCGCCCAGCTGCTAATAGTGTGTTAGGGTTGTGTCATGGGTTGTTATTGTTCAGGCAAGACAGCCTACCCTGTCCCATTTAGGGTGTTTTAAGGGCCTTATTTCATATTCCGTGGACCCTACTGGCGGATGCTGGTCTAGGAGGTTGTCTATTGCCTGGCCGTGTAGATCAGGGTGGTAAGGGACCTTTTTGAGATTACGTAGCTTTTTGGGAACCATGTATGGTTGTTGTCGTTATCTGGTGAGTCTTTGAAGGAGTTCTTGCTCTGATCGTTCTATCTGTTGGGCAGGGTGCAGCTGCTGGTTAATGGGTTTCATTCTCAGGTCTGCGTATCTCGGCTGTGGTTCTGGTGAAGGGCCTTTCACCTATAGGTCGGTCTGATGGACGGATGGACGGACGGAGGGACGGACGAAGGAAGAACAGACGGACGGACGGAGGGACGGAAGCATCTTGACGTACAAACATCACTCATCGATAACCTCTCCCTACCCCTCTCACCTCCCTCTACCCCCACTACCCTCCCCCTCCCACTCACCCCCTCCCTCCCCTCCTCCCCATCATCTCCTCCCTCCTCTTCTCCTTTCTCCCCACGCACCTGCAGCGAGCTTAGTGGTAATTTATTCCAATGTAGTCAAGGCCGATACGGGAGTCCATCACTGCTCGTGGCGGACACGCACTCACACCAGGGCAGAAGAACACGGACATGGGGTAGTGATGATGGTGTGTGGTGATGGTGGTGGTGTGGTGATGGTGGTGGTGTGTAGGGTGTGTGTGGTGGTGGTGTGTGTGTGTGTGGTGGTGTGGGTGTGTGTGGTGTGTGTAGTGGTGTGTGTGTGTGTGTGTGTGTGGTGGTGTGTGGTGTGGGATAGTGGTGTGTGGTGTGGTGTGTATGTAGTGGTGTGTGGTGTGTGATAGTGTGGTAGTGGTGTGTGGTGATGTGGTGGGAGGTAAACATAGGTAATCACTTAATCTTATATAGATAAACAAATGAAACAAAACAATCAATAATCAACTCCTCTCATAAAGGTAAACAAGGATAAACAAAGGAATACATAAACAGAAGAAGAGATAAAATAGGGCAGACAACAGGTAGAAGATAAACAGAAGCAGACAACAGGTAAACAAGACTCACCTGAAGATAAGCGTCGGAGAAGGTAGTGTAGCCTCGTTCACTCAGGCCAGCCAATGAGTCGAAGAGGACCCCAACACCGTCTAGCTGCAGGAAGTCTTGGACCCAGGCGTGATGCTCTAGTTTCTTCTTCTTCGGTGAGTGTAGAGACGTGGGAGGGGCAGTTAAGGGCGGTGACTAAGTCCTCTGGGTGCTCGTGGACCACTGCCAGCTGAGGGAGGCGGTGGAGGAGGCCGGTGCAGGAGGTATGTGGATAGGTTCCGAAGGGTAAGGGACTCCAGTAGGGAGAGAGAGAATAGGGAGAGAGAATTTATTATCGTGAAGAAAAAAAAAATCTTACAATTATCAAGTTCGAGCTTGACAAAACCAAAGAGCAAAAACAAAACAATTATTTTGTTTTATTTTCCTGTCCAACCTCATGGAATTTTGGGTGCCTTGGGGTCACTTTAGGGCATTGGGGGTATTTTAGGATTAATTTTGTCGCATTTAGGCATTTTGGAGCATTGGGGGTCATTTGGGGTCGCTTTTGAGGCATTGGGGGCTTAGGCATTTTTAGGGAGGATTTTAACAAAGGAGGGAATGGGGGAAGGAAGGAGGGCGGAGGAGGAAGGAGGGAGGAAGGAGGAAGGAAGGAGGGAAGGAGGTAGAAGAGTATATATTTGTGATACTGGAGTCTGACTGGAAGGCTCCGTGAGGGTAAATAGTTGAGATAATTTCTTTGATAATTCCTTGACGAGGCGTTGAAATTCTCAGAGTCTTATATTACAGTGAGTCTTATGTCTCACTGAGTCTTATGTCTCACTGAGTCTTATGTCTCACTGAGTCTTCTATCTCAATGAGTCTTATATCTCACTTCCTACACCAACTAACCTGAGACTCACATAATTAAAGACTCAAAGATGGATTCACAAAATCTTAAGTTACAAATTCCCCTTAACTTACAATAAGAAAACATATCTAACTGACTCACATAAGACGCAAAGCTGACTCACATAAGACGCAAAGATGACTCACATAAGACGCAAAGCTGACTCACATAACACGCAAAGCTGACTCACATAAGACGCAAAGCTAACTCACATAAGACGCAAAGTTGACTCACATAAGACGCAAAGATGACTCACATAAGACGCAAAGATGACTCACATAAGACGCAAAGATGACTCACATAAGACGCAAAGATAGATTCTCAAAGGGATTATAAAAAGTAAAACAAGAAATGAAGAAAACAGACGTTAAATAAGACACCTCGTACCGCTGACTGGAAGCTTGTTGAAGACCTCGAGGTGATTATGGCCGATGGATGTGTGCGCGTGAGGTAGCAATCGATTGTTGGTCTGTTATTATTGTCTGTTTTGCCGCTTTTGGTGTTTTTTCGGTGGTGGTGGTTGGTGGTGGTTGGTGGTATTGGTGGTAGTGGTGGTGGTGGTTGGGGGGTGGTGGTGTTGGTGGTGGTGGTGGTGGTGGGTTGGGGGTGGTGGTGTTGTTGGGAGATAGTGGTGATGATGTGGGGAGGGTTGAGGGTGGTGGTAATGGTGATGATGATAATGACCATCATCATCATCATCACCAACAGCATATCATCATCATTCCAAAGTACAAAAAAAAGAGTTCATAAATCCTTAAAATTTAGGGAAAAGTCTTAATTTAAGGAGAGAGAGAGAGAGAGAGAGAGAGAGAGAGAGGCTGTGTCGTGCAGGAACTCTCTCACGCAGATTGCCTCCCTCAATTCAGTCAATTTGCAAAACAATTGACTAGTTGGTAGAAATTGATGGTTCGCGCGGCCTTGCCCAATTTGACACAAGCTGTTAACAAGAGGAGGATTCCGTGACTAACTAGGAAGGAGGGAAGGAGGGAGGGAGGGGAGGGAGGGAGGGTGGGAGGGGAGGAAGGAGGGGGGGGGAGTCGATGAGAAGGAGGAAGGAAGGAAGGAGAAGAGAAGGTATTTGTATATACTTGAATCTGATTGGACAATTTTTTCCCATAATACAAATCGTTCCATGATTGGTTGATCTGTGCCCCTCCCCCGCTGTAAATCGACCAATAGCGACCTTGATACCTTGAATATCTCATCTACCTCGTAATATATAACAAGGTCAAACTAAGACTACTTTCCCATCGTCATTATAAACTTTGGCAACTTTAATTGTATATAAAAGAATAATGATGATAATGAGCGTTAAATACGAAGAGTTAATTTGGGTTTAGTGATACAAATGAGAGAGAGAGAGAGAGAGAGAGAGAGAGAGAGAGAGAGAGTTTGATATTCTCTAGTAATCGCCCAGTGCCTTAATATAACCTCTCCTAATCTACAATGATCCTGACCAAACATGTCTCGACCTGACCTGACTTGGCCTGACTGACCTTTCTTTTGGGCGAGTCGCTGTAGAGCCGATGACCAGCGGCTGGAGACAGAGGAGGCGAACGACTGCTCCGACGAGGCAAGTGAGACGTCACTCTGCTGCCTGTTGAGCCAATCCCTGCTGAAGACGCTGCTCGTCTGCTGCCTGCTGAGCCACTGCTGAAGGACTCCTCAGACACACTCGACAACCTGCTTTCGGTCGAATCCTGCCGCTGGAGTCGACGAAGGAGTCTGAATTTTCTGCCGCCGGGGTGGAAATTCGGAAGTCGACCGTCTCTTGTGTCTGTCTCGCCGGGATGGGCACGTCTGTTGGCGTCTGTTGCCTTTGGGAGGCGTGTGTGTGAGTCTTTGGCTTGTGGGACACGTCTGTGTATATTTGTTACTTCTGTGACGCCTCTGTGTGTCTCTGGGTGCCGTGTGTGTGAGACTGTAGCCTTAGGGACGCGTCTGTGTAGATCTGCGGCGGTGTTTGAGTCGGAGTTGAGGGGTGTGGCCGCAGAGCGGGTCCTCGCGGCTAAGTGGCCTCCATCCTCACTCTGGAAGGTCCTCTCTCTTGAGGACCTGCCCGACTCGAGGCCGACCTCAGTGACCTCACCCTTGACCTCCCTGGGAGAGCCACCTGAGTCTCTAGAGGCTACACAAAGGCCTTTTTTGGTCTTGGCGATGTGGTCTTCTTGAGGCCAACTGATCCGACACGGCGATGAAGTCCTGGAGGAGACTCGACAAGCTCTCACAAGAGGTCCTCTGGGGAGGGAGACCGGGAGAGGAGGCCACGGTCTCTGATGTAACCTGAGGGAGAGAGAGGGAGTGGTGAGAGGGGAGAGTGGTGAGAGGGAGAGGGTGAGAGGGGAGAGTGGTGAGAGGGAGGTGTGATGAAGGTAACATAATTATAGTATCACACACACACACACACACACACACACACACACACACACACATTCGTACCTACATTTTGTAAGCAGATAAACCAAATATTAATAATAAATTGTTATATATCATTCCACGTAAATACTATAAAAACTCTCTCTCCTGATGACAGAGAGAGAGAGAGAGAGAGAGAGAGAGAGAGAGTATTAATATTCACCATCTAACCTACAGCAACACCTTGTAATTCCTTGCCTCTAGAGACACCACCTGACACACTTCTTCCTCTTCCTCCTTTCTCCTCTTCCTCCTTCTCCTCTTCCTCCTCCTCCTCCCACCACCACCACCTTACGTCAAGTACGTACCCTACGACGCATTGCTATGGCTCACGACGCATGCGCACGAGTACGCAAATCGGCCTGGCACGTGCGAAGGTCAAGTCAGTCTCCACGCAGACCACAACAGACCAGAAACTAAAGACCAAAGTCGGACCGAAAATGCCCTGGGATCACATGAAGATTAGCCCCCCTCTCTCCTGTAACTCGTCTCACTTTAACCTAACCTAACCTAACCTAACCTAACCTAATCTAACCTAACAGAGCTAAGTACTAGAACTGGGGTCTATTAGGACTGAGGGGGGCCTATTAGGACTGGGGTCTACTAATACTACTGGGGCCTAACTATCCAAATCCCCCCAAAAGTTCGTAAATTAAGACCTAAACAAACCTTTAAAATCCAAAATGGCGTCGGAATGTTACTGAGACTCTACCTTGACCAGATAGAAAAAGACTTATAGATAATTAATATTTTGATCTTAATTAAATATGGATTAATTTGTCAGTAAACGTATTCATGTATTTATTTTTTACGTACATGGAATTATACGTACATAGATTGATCATGTTAGTATAAAACCCACACACGTGCATACATAACCTACACACACACACACACACACACACAGACACACACACACACACACACACACACACACACACACACACACACACACACACACACACACACACACGCACGCACGCACACACACACACACACGCACGCACACACACACACACACACACACACACACATAAAAGATACGTGTGTCAACAGATAGACTGAACCTCTGTTATCACACCTCAGGCAACACTGTCAAAATAGAGCGCTTCTGTCTCAGCCAATGAGGAGGCTGCTTACCTCTCTGAATGTTGACAAGGAAAACAATGATACTCTCTCTGTCTGTCTGTCTGTCTGTTCCTGTCTGTTCCTTGCCCTCTTTCTCTCTCTGTCTGTCTGTCTGTCCTTCTCTGTTTCTCTCTTGCATGAAAATGACATGCCTGTATTTTTCGTACATGTGTGTGTGTGTGTGTGTGTGTGTGTGTGACCCATAACAACAGGTAGAATACTCACACGTTACCATAATTACCAAACCATTACCACCACCGTATAGCTAACGAGCACACATACACACACACACACACACACACACACACATGTACGTAAAATATTGGCATGTTGGAGAGAGAGAGAGAGAGAGAGAGAGACCCGCCACATACCACCAAAATAACTTGCAATATCCTCCCATATATTGCAAGAGAAAGCAACATCCCTTTAGGAACACTGACATATGGTTGCAACATCCTTCTAACGTTGCAAGATGATCAAAACAACAGAGTCCATAGAAACGCCAAAATGGTGGGGGTGATGGGGGTGTGGGGGGACTGGCGAATAGTGTAAGGGGTGATCGCCAACTGGGGGCGGAGGAGAAGGCGGAGGCAAAAGGTGAGGCGAATTGCAATTTACATAGAGGTATAATTCTCCAAGGTCTTCCCTGCTTTGACGTGTTGGCTATGGGAGGAACGAGGGGGAGGAGGAGGGGGGGGGGGAAGGTGAGGGAGAGTTGCTGATGGAGGAGGAGGAGGAGGGGAGAGGGCTTTAGTGGGGAGGGGGGGTGTTCGGGGTGTTGTTGAGGGAGGTAGGGAGGGGAGGAGGGAGGAGATGCAGGGTAAGGTGAAGGGAGGGGAGGGAGAGAGGAGAGATGCAGGGTAAGAGTGAAGGGGAGGGGAGGGAGAGAGATGCAGGGTAAGGGGTGAAGGGAGGGGGAGGGAGAGAGGAGAGATGTAGGAGAGGAGTGAGAGAAGGAAGGAGGTTGTTGAGAGGTTCTCCTTGTGGTGGGAGAGAAGGAAGAAAACAACAACAACAACAACACAAGAACAAGAAGAAGAAGAACAAGCAGAAGAAGAAGAACAACAAGAACAAGAACAACAAGAACAAGAACAACAAGAACAAGAAGAACAAGAAGAACAAGAACAAGAAGCAGAAGAACCTAACCTAACCTTGAGGTACTTAAATAATTAATTAAAGTCATTTACAATCATTAACAAAACACAAGTGACAATTACCTCGAATCTGGACTGATTTACAAGATGATGACTACTTCCGGTTTCATGACGTCACTTAGAATTACATACATACATACATACATACATACATACACACACACTTACAATACGTTAAAAAGTAAACGTCTTCTTTATATACATACATACATACATACACATACATACATACATACATACATACGCACACACACAGCAGAAAAGGTGAATCAGTAACATGCATAAGTAAACACAACACTTCAGAACAGTCTAATGCATACAAAGTCACCAGTTAACTACACACACAAGGTGACTCCACTCAGACAGTCTACAGTCATTCTTACAACAGTCTAATGTAACAGTCTACAGTCATTCTTACAACAGTCTAATGTAACAGTCTAATGTAACAGTCTACAGTCATTCTTACAACAGTCTAATGTAACAGTCTACAGTCATTCTTACAACAGAATCCAACTAAACTGTCACAAACTGTACCTAATCCATACATACCCTACACGAATACTACAGTATATACATATTATACACACATATATACATCAAGTGATACATACGAGTACATTATACATACACATATACACGAGTACAATATACACACATGTATACATCAAGAGACATAAACCGGTTCTCTCCAGGTAAACAGTTCACAGGTGACCTTCAGGTGTCATTAAGGTAAACAAAGCAGCCATGAAATTATCACCTAATGACTTAAGAACACAGATGATGGTGTGAGGTGATGGTGTAATTGACCCAGTGTTAGGTGTTTAGGGGTCACGTGAGGATTAAAAACCCCCACCCCCCAACCCCCACCCCCTCTCTCTCTCTCTCTCTCTCTCTCCTGGGCATCATCATACCTGCTTATTTCACTCACCTGATGATTAAACACCTTAGCTCTATATCTAGGGGTTAGGTTAGGTTTTACGTTAGCGTTTGGTTAGGTTAGGTTAGGTTTACGTTAGCGCTAGTTTAGGTTAGGTTAGGGTTACGTTAAATAAGTTGGGGGTGTCTAATCTTCATGTGATCTGAGTTCAGTAGAGTAATTACGGCAATTAAGAGAGAAATGACATGTGATTGGTCGGTGTTCAAACGTTCCTGATTGGTTGTTGGTGCTTGCTCAAGGGTGCTATTAGTTGAAGGGTGAAGGGCACACACTTGTACATCTGGCACCCTACCTGTCTACCTCTCACCCTACCTGTCTACCTCTCACCTTACCTGTCTACCTCTCACCCTACCTGTCTACCTCTCACCCTACCTGTCTACCTCTCACCCTACCTGTCTACCACTGTTCACCGCCATATTGAAGCCCTATGATTAGCTACAATAGAGATGACGTCAAAATGAAGGCCTCTGATTGGCTTCAAGGGAGTGACGTCATAGTCAAGGGCTTCGAATGGCTTTTACTAAGGTGACGTCATAGTGAACGCTTCTGTTAGGGCAATGAGAAGAATGATACAATGACGGATGGTGATTGGCTGGAATAACGTGACGTCATGGTGAAGGCCTCCGATTACCCAAAGGAATGATGACGTCATTGTAAGAAAACTGTGATAGGCTGGAATAAATGTGACATCGCAATGGAGACTTCTAATTGGCCACAAAACAGATGACCACACTGTTGATCAGGTCAAGCTGGGTCAGGGTAATGATGATCTAGGTCAGTGGATCCGGGGGCCAGGGTCAGGGGTCACATGATAAGGGTGGGTCGGGGGTCAGGGGTCATATAGTAAGGGAGGTTCTTGAGTCAGGGGTCACATGATAAGGGTGGGAGGGGGTCAGGGGTCATATAGTAAGGAGGGTCAGGGTCAGAGGCTACTAGATCAGGGGTCAAAGGGTAAGGGAAGGTCAGGAATCACATGGTAAGGGAGGGTCGGGGTCAAGAATCCTATAATGAGAGGGTCAGGGTCAGAACACTAGATCGGGGAGTCAAAAGGGTAAGGGAAGGTCAGGAATCATGGTAAGGGAGGTCGGGAGGTCAGAAGATCCTATGGTAGGGAGGTCAGGGGTCAGGAGTCTATGGTAAGGAGGGTCGGGGTCAGGGAGTTAAAGCACTACGCCCTCTTCCACATCTTTAGTCGCCTCCAGTATCGCCCAACCGGAGAGAGAGAGAAAATTTCCTTTTCTCTTTCTACACATCTCATTAAGACAATCTCTCTCTCTCTCTCTCTCTCTCTCTCTCTCTCTCTCTCTCTCTCTCTCATCCCCCTCTCTCTCACCCTAAGAGAACAAGGGAAGGTTTAAAGGGGGAAATAGTGGGTGAGGTCCCTAGGCATTCCTTCTCTATTTTTAGCACCCTTAACACGCATTTTATCACGTGTGTGTGAAGGCGAGAGAGAGAGAGAGAGAGAGAGAGAGAGAGAGAGAGAGAGAGAGAGAGAGAGAGAGAGGACAAGACCGCTATATAAACAAGAAATAAAATAAAATACACAGAAATTTATTATTCAAAATACACAATGGTCAATGTTTCTTCAATATACAACATCTTGAAAAAATTACAAGTGTCAAGTTGTATTGGTAAACACGTAAGAGAAA